AGAAAGAAAGAAAGAAAGAAAGAAAGAAAGAAAGAAAGAAAGAAAGAAAGAAAGAAAGAAAGAAAGAAAGAAAGAAAGAAAGAAAGAAAGAATCCTCTCTCCTAGCTATTTTGAAATATATCATTAATTGTTGTCTACCATACTTACTCTTAGGTGCCACAAAAGATAAGTTTTTCCTCCATCCAACTGTACCCTTATACCACTAAAACTCCTCTCTCCATCCTCCCTTCCCCTTCCCAAGCTCTGGTAACTATTATTCTACTTCTCTGAGATCAACTTTTTCAAAGTTCTTGATTTTTTTTTTTTATTTAGAGTGAAAAGCAGTTAAAAGAGAGGACAGAATTCTCACTTACTGTGACAATGCTTGTAATGCATCACCATAATAGAATCAGAAGGGCTAAAGCACCTGTGGACCCCAGCCGTCCAACACCACTGTGTCTGGGAGGAGGTGTGGGCAGGGAACCTTCTGGAAGTGGTGACCCTCTCCTGGCCCTGACCTTCCTGTCAGAGTATCTCCAGACAGGGCATTGGTGGAAGAAAAGCTGGAGCTGGGCAAGGGAGAAGAGGTGGGTGGGGAACTTACCAGAGATCCCAGCAACTGGAGCTACAAGAAAGAAAGCAAGGACCATCAGGGGCCTGAGCCTCTGCACTGAGAAGAGCCCGTTAAGGGCCCTCTCAGCCACTGCCCAGTCCTTGCCCATGATCATCCCCAGGCTATCCCACGAGGTCTCTCTCAAAAGTTCTCAGAACTCTTTCTTTTATAGCTGAAGAAAATATAATGAACTCATATGAAACATTCTTTAGATTGATTAAAATGGCTCCGGAAAGTTCTCTGCTAAACCTTATATACGTAAGTGATTTTCCCAGAGTCTACCCAGAGAGCAGGGTTTGGGGTTGTTTTTTTTTGTTTGTTTGTTTTTTCTTTTGGGTGTAGATTACACAGGTAATCTACAGTCATGACAGAAGATTAGAAAATTGGCATATGTCATGCTAGATTTCCTTCTGGGATATATAACTTCATTGTTTTGCAACCTAGAGCTTATCAACAAACTTTCACTGACTTCCTACATTGCAGCTCATCCTAGTTCCACCCCAAGGAAAAGAATATGGCCCCTGCCCCTACTGAAGGCAACATTCTCATGGTGGAGATTAGCACATGTACAGCTTACTGTAAAAGCCATGTTCCTAGAGGCACTGGAGGAGTATGGAGAAAATGCTGAGGGGGTTCAGAGGAAGGGGAGCTCCCAGGGCTCTGTGTTTGGCAAGGTTTGGGGTTGGTAAGTGTTGGGAGCTGCAGAAGCTGGAAAATCAGTCAAAGGTGTGTAGGCGGGACTAGGCCTCAGCGCCTAAAGCAAACAAGCTACCTCAGTCCTGAGATAAGCACCCTGACTGTCAGTTAATGTCAGTTACTGGTCAGGGGGCAACCTGTGTCACGTGTTACTAACTTTGCAAAGGTATAAATACAAGTTGGCTTTGTTGTGGCATTTTACTATTCTTGCCTACCAGGCAGGCCAGCGACCACCTAGCCCAGCTTTTGCCTTCTTTATCCTTTCTCATTCCTGCCGCCGTGTCTCCCTGGATAGAATTCATCCGAAGGAGACCAACAGATCTCTACAGGTAAGGAGGGGAACCCGTGGAGAAGTTAGTATTCCTCAGGACATTCAAAGAGTGATAGGACTTTTTTTTTTTTTTTTTTTCTTTTTAGATAAGGTCTCACTATGGAGTGCAGGAGGCTGGTTTTGAATTCACTTATGTAGCCCAGGCTGGCCACAAACTCACAGAGATCCTCCTGTTCCAACCTCCCAAGTGCTGGGAGTGATAGGATTTTGACAGAGAGTGAAGAGGGAATCTGTGTGACAGTGGCACAGGTACTTGTCAACATTTCCAGGGAGTTGCAGCCCACCTGCTGCTTGATTTTGCGTCTCATGAAGGTGCCTCCAAGAATGAGAGAAAAGGTTAAAAATGGAAGTAAGTCCTAATGCTACATAATGCGACAGTAGGTTAGAACGCAGACTGAGGCTGGCTATGGACTTCAGTCTTGCTAAGTCACCTTCACCAACCACTTTCTTCTGTTTTAGTTCCCTGCATTGTAGCTGGAGATAATGGCAGCAGTGTCTACTTCCCAGAGCTGAAGTAAGGATTGCATGCACTAGTGAGGCATTTACGATGCTGCCTGAGCCATGGTAGATTTTAAATAAATGTAAGGCGACTTTTTAAGTTTGAGCTTCAGGTCAGTGTATAGTAGAAAGTCAGGAAGTTCAAAGTGCAGCTGAAAGCTCGTCAGATACATTGGAAAGGGGAACTATTAGAGAAACTTCTGAGGAAAGTGGATATTGCAATTATCCAAAAATACGTGTGGGTGGCCTTCCCAGTGTCAGGCTCAGTACACTCATCTCTTCCTTTCACACATTTTAACCACAGATGTTCATCTTATACTCAACACCTCATCATCCATAGGAACCATACGCATATCAAACTCACAACATCAAACATTTCTCTCTCTTTGTTTGAGAGGATCTTCCATGTAGCCCATACTGGCTTTAATCCCACATTAAACTTCCTGCCTCAGTCTCCCAAGAGCTGAATTTACAGGCACATGCCACAACTTGAGGCACAAAACCAAGCTGTTTCATGCACCAGTTACAACCTCCTTCAGTTGCATTCTATCTGCTCAAATGCAGACTCCACAATCTGCTTTCACCTCATCAAGAATGCTGAAGCACATGCCTGTAATCCCAGCACTCAAGAGGCTGAGGCAGGAGGATTGTTCACAGTTTGAGCAAGGTCAGCCTGGGCTACAAAGTGGTTCAAGGCCAGCCTGAACTGCATCATGAGACTCTTTCTCAAAAAGGCATAAGAAGAAGGAGAAGGAGGACGAGGAGAAGAAGAAGAGGAGGAGGAGAAGGAAGAAGAGGAGGAGGAAGAAGAGGAGGAGGAAGAAGGAGGAGGAGGAGGAGGAGGAGGAGGAAGAAGACGAGGAGGAGGAGGAGAAGAGGAGGAGGAGAAGGAAGAAGAGGAGGAGGAGGAGGAAGAAGAGGAGGAGGAGGAAGAAGAGGAGGAGGAAGGAGAAGAAGGAAGAGGAGAAGGAGGAGAAGAAGAAGAGGAGGAGGAGGAGAAGGAAGAAGAGGAGGAGGAAGAGGAGGAGGAAGAAGGAGAAGAACGAGAAG